AGTCAACTGCTCCCTGCTTGCAGCCTCACACTTTGCTTGAATGCATGTGGTAAAGGGGGAAAACAAGGGAATGCATATGAGTGAACTAAGTCAACTGCTCCCTGCTTCCCTTGTGTGTAGATTTTTTAAATTCGTGTGCCTGTGAGTTTCTGTGTATATGAATACACTGCTTGGACCTGTTCTTCTTGGGTTTACTCACCATTGCTTGCTACCCAACCAACAACAATGAGCACCAGCCACCAGTGCATCCAGCTATGACCTCCTGGATTTATTTAAACGTCCTGGATGCCTACTAGTCAATTGCGTATCCAGAGACGAGTCACTAGGAGCAGTGTTTTACAGAGACAGTAGAGGATAAGGATTTAAATATTTATGTGTCTTCTTGAAAACAAGCCTAGAAGACAGCTGAAGTTAGCTAGAGAAGATTGAGATATGAGCATTGAGCGAGGGAATTAGACATTACAGCTACTCCAAATCCAGTTGGTTTTTCTTTTAGATCTTGTTGCAATAGTGGGAGAAATAACTGTAAAGAGGGTTTTCTTTATTCCCATTAGGAATGTGCAAAGGCCTCCCAACCGAGTCCGTGCCCAAATAAAGGGCACATTGATGGGGCCTGTCTTGGCTTGTGCTCTTTTGATGGTTCTGCAGTCTGATCCTTGTCCCTGTGGTTGTGGGGCCATTATTTGTGTATGTATTCCTCTGCAAGAGGGGAAAACATCTGCACAAATGGATAAATAGAAATAGCTGTGATCTGGTCTGGATGGCCAGGGTGCAGGTAAAAAGTGCTATCTGTTTGGGGCATGTGGTTGATCTCGCTTAAACACCAGGGTAAGTGTGCTATATTGCAGACATGTATTTTCCCATGTTTGAGGTCCAGCCACTTCCAAAGGAATGCATGTGCTTGGATGGAAAAATGAAGAATAAACTGTGCTTTGGCTCTCTATCTCCCTCCAGTCCCTGGAGGTGTTAATAATACTGAAGCCCAGCGGTTCCCAACCTTGGGTCCCCAGGTGTAGTTCTTGGACTACAACTCCCAGAAATCCTTGCTAGTACAGCTAGTGGTGAAGGCTTCTGGGAGTTTTAGTCCAAGAACCACTTCTCGAGCCTCTAAGGCCATTCAACTTAACATATGCCCCCACCCCAGAGCCAGGTGTTTCTTACCTGGTTCCCATGCTTCTTTGGATCCCACACTAGGACACCTGTTGCAAAGGCAACATCCTCCCCTTACACCCTCCAATGTGAGTAGTCTTTATAAGCCAGCTTCCACCCTTTCCTGGATCATTTTTCCTACAACAGCTTGGCTGGCACTCCACACCAGATCCTTTCCAAACACCTTTCCTGCTGGAAGCTGAGCACTATTGCTCACCTCCCACTCTTTCTTGGAGCCTCACTGCCTGTGAATGCCCAGCTGGCCCTCATTACTATATCCTTTGGAAGGAAAAGTACCATTATGGTCAGTTCTCATAATTCCTGGACTCCACTTGTACCCACCCAGGCCCAAACTGAGATTAGCAGTCAAGATCAGTAGCCAATGAAGGTGACCAGAATCCAAAGAGGGAGAAACACAAGGCACAATGATAAACAGTGCATGGCCCAGCACGGCACAGGCACAGGGATGGAGAATTACCAAAACGGTCTGGAATGTACAAATGCAAACTGTATGAAACAATATGTTTCCAGCACTGGGGATTTGGAAGTCAACTGCCTGTACATTGCCACTGAGGCTGCTGTGACTGACAGCTCTACGCAAGGCTGTGGTCTGAGCTATCCAGCTATCTAGCTGTGAACTGGGGTAGACTCTCACTTGCTTCTCAGAAACCTCGACAAATAAATTTACTTCCCCTGGAGCCAGGAATTCCTTCTCAATATGTGCAGCCAGCTCTCACTTTTCTCCACCATTGATATTGTGGACTAGGAGTGCATTCAGCTTTCTTGTCTGACTCTGGAGCTGAACCTCCTCCCACTGGGGGTGATGCTCCTTGTGCTTTGAGGGCTCTGGACCCACCCTGACTGTTCGCAATTACCAAGGTCATAGGATGCAGGCTCATCCCCACTGGATAATTCATTGAATGGGACACAACTTCCAATATGGTTGCCTTGAACTTGATATATCTATTGCCTTGCTCCGTCCTGGCCATCAGATTTCTTCAAAATCATGGATGGGTAACAAGTGGCATGTAAGTCGTATGTGGCCACTCAAGTGTCTTGTTCACTGCTCCCCAAAGATATTGTGAAAGTTGTGCTGCTGAAATTCAGTGGCAAAATAGGAAGAGCCATTGTGGAAGACAGGAAACCCTTGCCTGAAATGTGTTTTCACAGTTTGGTGCCAACATTCAAGGCGAAACTAGATACAATACTTGAGTCATCATTAGAAGTAAAGCTATCTTAAGAAATAAAAGGTGTTTGTTTAGTCTAACATAAACCTGCCACAATCAAAAAATTAAGCTTGATTTTGTTTTGCAATTGGCCATGGAAAGACAAGCATGACTTTGTCTGCAGGCCTGATTTATCAAATACTAGCTTTGAAATATGTGCATACCTGGAGGGAAAACAGAAGGCATTCACCTTGATGTGATACTCTGTTGCAAAAGGAAGGGGGCATGAAAACAAGCATTTGTTACTGGTTTAGTGTCTTTTTCTGCTTTTCCAGCAAACATCTGCTTGGTCACCAAGTCTCAGCTTTTACAGGAAGCAACAGGCAGGGTTTGCAGCCCATGGTGGATTTTAGATGGGGCAGAACTGGCCCCCAGGGTTGCTAACGCTTGCACATTGCTCTGGAGGTACTGGAAGGGCATATTCTAGTGCATTTCCATGATGTGAAAAGGTACACGTTCCGATAGCTGCACAGTAAACTGATTTTAGTACATAAAGGCAGAGCATTCCATGGGTCAGCTGGCAACCTTAAAACCTGCACCTGTTCATGGTGCATCCAAATACCTAATTTCTTGCCAAAGACAAGTCAGCCTAAGTTAATGAACTCACTGCCATCCAAAATCAAGATGATTGATGGTGATGGAGACAATGATGAATGCAAATAGGGCATTGAAGTGCTCCATTAAATATGCTGCTCACAGTCTTTTCCTTCTAGTAAGAGAGAGATGCCAGCACTCAGCTGCTGGTTGCCTTTGCTATCCTAACTATTCAAACATCACTGTGAAGGAACTATGCTCCTTCTTTTGTTCTGCTGTCCACTGAGAGAGACCTGTGGAAAACAGCAGCCTTATATCCATTTGTCTCGAGCATATGTCACTTCTGCCTTTAATTCTCTAATAGGATCCTAGCAGAATGTGAGATAGCAGCATGAAACACCAGTGGGGCATCATTTTTGTTGTTGTTTTGTTCTAGTTTCAAAGAATATGGAAAAATGGGCATGTTGGTGGGGGAGGATTTCAATTTCAAATTAGTATTTCTGTTACTCGGATTCCAGCTGAAAAGAAAAAGGAAAGGAAAGGAAAGAAAGGTGGGGGGAATTGAAAAATAAAAACCATGAAGGTTAGATCTACAGTGGTATGTATGCTTTTTTGGTTACAAACAGTGCTGAAGCGGAGTCAAGACTGATCATCTAAGACTTCTAGATTGACAGGTACTGCAGTGCCATCTGCCACCCCACACTTTCTGTTTGGGATTAGCTGTAATCTTCACAGCATGTGGAAAGAAGGATGGATTTCCCATTTATAGTACCAACAGAGGAGTCTGGTCTTGAATTGCAAACGATGTCAGTGAGCATTACAAAATCAAAATAAATGCTCCTGGTGGTGGAGAACCTTGCTAGAACTGGGTGGTTGATATGGATGCCTACAACCTCCTGCATTTTCACACTAGAAGTGTGATGATGCAGAGTGTCATGAGGTACACATGCAGGTCTGAAGTTGCTTGCTACTACCCTCCTGAGCAAGGGATGTGGTGGCGCTGCGGGCTAAACCACAGAAGGCTGTGCTGCAGGGTCAGAAGACCAAGCAGTCGTAAGATCGAATCCACACGACGGAGTGAGCGCCCTCCTGTTGCTTGTCGCAGCTCCCACCAACCTAGCGGTTCGAAAGCATGCAGATGCGAGTAGATAAATAGGGGCCACCTCGGTGGGAAGGAAACAGCGTTCGTAGCTAAGTCGCAATGGCCATGTGACCACGGAAGATTGTCTTCGGACAAAATGCTGGCTCTATGGCTTGGAAACGGGGATGAGCACCGCCCCCTAGAGTCGAACACGACTGGACAAAAGTTGTCAAGGGGAACCTTTACCTTTACCCTCCTGAGCAAAAGTCGGGGCAAGCAAAGTTAAAGTTTACAGGCAAATAATCAGGCATCAAATCGGACTGGATAAATGCAATGGTCTACACACCCTTACTAAACCAAGAACTATGTTTGGTGAAGCTTCCGTGGATTGATGGCACATAAGTCTGGTTTAGATATCAGGCTGTGGAGCCTGAGGTTGAGAGTTCGATTCCCCACTGTGCCTCCTTGGCAGGGGCTGGACTTGATGATCTATAGGATCCCTTCCAGCTCTGCAGCTCGAAGGTCTAAGATGATAACATCTTCAGTGGTGAGGGTGGAGTGCGCGGGGTTTGCGATTTCGCACGACTCCGGCAAGGAAGCTGGTGAATGACCACGCATATACAGCAGAGGAGTCTCAAGACCGTTTCTGACGTCGCTCTCCGTTCTCCCCGGCGCTCCCAATCCCGCCTTAGTCCCCGACGGCTTGAAGCGCACGCCGCTGGCCAACGCTAGCCAAGGGGAGGGGCCCCACGGAAGAGGGAAGCCGAGGGGTGGGGGGGACGGAGAGAGAGAGAGAGAGACGGAGCGAACTCGCCAGCCTATGGGGTGGAGCAGTCTGGAGGGTGGGGTCGCCGGGCGCCTATAAAAGGGTCTTCGGCGCCCGGGCGCCCCTTTCCTTCTCCGGCATTCCTGAGCACCGGCGAGGGAGGCCGGGGGAGCGCCTAGACGGCGCGGGCAGGCAGCGCGGCTCCTCGGCCTGCGCCCCGAGGGCTCACTCCGGGACAGCGCCCGCCTCTTGCCTTCCCCAGATCCCGGGCGGAGGAGGAGGAGGAGGAGGAAAAGAAGGGTGGGCGGGCGGCGAGGGAAACGAGCCCCTTCCCCCTGCACAATGACTTCGATCCCGGCGGCCAACTGGAGCGGGGCGGCCGAGGCGGCGGCGCCCTGGAACGAGACCTGGTCCCCGAACGGGTCCCTTTCCCCGCCGCCCCCGCGGGCGCCGGCCGCCAACTTCTCCAACCAGTTCGCCCAGCCGGCGTGGTCCATCGCCCTCTGGTCGCTGGCGTACGGCGTGGTGGTGGCCGTGGCCGTCTTCGGCAACCTGGTGGTGATCTGGATCATCCTGGCCCACAAGCGCATGAGGACGGTGACCAACTACTTCCTGGTCAACTTGGCTTTCTCCGACGCCTCGGTGGCCGCCTTCAACACCCTGGTCAACTTCATCTACGCCCTCCACGGCCAGTGGTACTTCGGCGACGCCTACTGCCGCTTCCAGAACTTCTTCCCCATCACGGCCGTCTTCGCCAGCATCTACTCCATGACGGTCATCGCCGTCGACAGGTGAGCTCCGCGGGACGCGCGCCCGGGGGCTGTTGGAGGTGCCTCTGCTCGCGTCGGGGGCTGCAGCGCGGGGAGTTGATGCGCTTCTTTCCCGCATCTTCTCCCCATTCTCTAAAGTTTTGGGGTTTTTTGTTTTGTTTTGTTTTACTTTTTTGGACTACAGTTCCTAGCATCCTTCAGCCAACATGGCAAGCGCGATCCAAAAAAAAAGTAACTATTCCCAAGCTTGCCTCTTCCACCACAGGGGGGGGGAAATATTCCAAATCCCTTGTGTATCAAACGGACCGTAATGTGTAGAAGTGGCCAAGACTTTATGGTCTTTCTTTCCTAGCAAAGAAATTACCGATGGGTCCCAAATTACCCTTTGTTTTGGCGGCTTTTTAACCTTACTGCCGTGCGTTTCGAGGCGTTCATAAAGCAGCCCATGATGGGGGTACCCTTTATTCTGGGGGCTTTTTAACCTAACTGCCGTGCGTTTCTAGGCGTTCATAAAGCAGCCCATGATGGGGGGGGGGAGTTATTTTGCTCTCTAGCGCTTGGCAATCAGAAAGGTATTGTCCGCCTATCCATGGAGACTTTATTTAAGAATTACAACTGTTAGCGGTTTCCTTATGAACTTATCTAAAAACCGCCTTCCCTATTTCCTCTTCTTAAACCCATCCAGGTAGTATCCTGCACTAGCTCATCAATTCTCAGAACAGTAAAGTATGTCTCCCTAGTTTTCCTCTGATCTCATTCATTCATCAGCCTCATGGTGTGTGCACTAGCCAGTGTCCTCTCAGTGTCCAGGAGTCTGCTGTAATCTGTGACAGGAGATATAGCAGTTCAGATTTCCCTCTCATATGTTTTGTTGTGTGTGTGTGTGTTTTAACCCTACTTGGACTCCTTACTGAAGACCAATCTCATCCTGAAAAACAGTGGGAGGGAGGAGTGTTGTTTAAATGCATTTTGCTTTCTCCTCAGCTGTATTTTGAGAAAGCAAAATGGACTTCTTCCATTACTGTACATTCCTTCACTACACTACTCCAGGTTAATTTCATCTGCGACCCCAGCTTCCATGGGATTGAGTGACTGCTGGATAGCTCAGAGGTTTAGATCTCCAGCTGTGGAGTCAGAAGTTGGGAGTTTGATTCCCTGGTGTGCCTCCTTGACAAAGGCCGAGCTTGATGATCCGTGGGCTCTCTTCCAGCTCTGCAATTCTCAGATTAAGATGTTTGTTAAGTATGCCAGTAGGTGTGCCCATCATGGTAGAGTGAAATGTTTACCACAAGTCTCACTGTCTCATCTAGATGCATTAGAAATTCTGAGAGTTTAGCTCAGGTTGAATAAGTTCTACCCTGCCATTCATATATTCATATTCATTCTTTGGAGGAGTTCCAGTCGTATAACTGTCTGCAAATGATGTTTTCAGAGAAGGGTTTTATTGTCATCATCTTAAGGAGTTTTATGGTGGTATCCGTAGAGCATGATCTGAATCTTCCTGTCTGTTTTCCGTACCAGAGAAACTTCCTTAAAGGAGAGAAAGATTTTCATTGAATCTCATATCCAACAATGGGTCTTAATATCTTAAAAGACTAACAAGTTTTGTTTGGCAAATGGCTGTGGCTTACTTGCTTGATGACACACGTGTATATACACATGCAGATGTGGGGTATGGAAATGCAAAAGGTACCAAGAATGATCATTGAAGGGATGTGGAGAAGTAACAAGGAGAGATTGAAATAGACAAGCAGGGAGAGGTGTAACACCTGCACTGTGTTGGTTGATTAGTACCACTAGGCACTAATGGCCCTTGGAAACACTCTATGCTTGTTCTACTTACAAATGAAGGTAAGAACTGAAATGGGACGATTGACAAGCAACACAGAAGAGGGCCCTGCATTCATCTGCCCTTTCTCATATCTAATAGCTGGCTTTTGCACATTCTTTCAGTATCTGTTTGTGAGGATCCACTTGCTAATCCTATGTGATAGCACACATAACAAATTATGAAGGGAAAGCTGAGGGAAACTGGCTGCATTTTTGTAATTCTGTGTGGGACACAGGAGTATACAACATTTTTTTAAAAGTTGGGTTGTTGTATTTCCTGTTATTTTTCTAGAATACACTGAAACTGTGTCTTTTGGTCCTTGCTATATTTTCATCATCATTACAGTTGGGTCTCGACCTATGGAATTAATCCGTATGGAACTGGGGTCCATAGGTCGAAAAGTACGCAGGTCGAAAATGCATTCCCCGTAGGAATGCATTGAAAACCATTTAATCCGTAACCTACCCAGACCCCCCCACACACACACATACAAAATAAAAATAAAATTTTAAAAATAAAAACTTACCTTTCTGAAGTCTTCCAGGGGTTCCCCGCCACCGCCATCGCCACTGCTGTAGGACTCCGAGGGCTTCAGCACCACTGCCGGAAGCCTCTTGGAGCTCCGCCGCCACAAGCCTCTCGGAGCTCCGCCGCTGCCATCACCATTGCAGGACTTTGAGAGCTTCAGCGTGGCTGCCGGAGGCCTCTCGGAGCTTCCCCCCCCCCGACGCAGGTTTTCCCAGGGTGGACGGGCCTACCAGGGGAGGGCTTCCTCCGGGAGGCCTGGTCTACTGGCCGGAAAAGCTTGGTAGACCCGGCCTACCAGGGGAAATTCGAATTTCCAGCCCTTTCTCGCCCGGAAAAGCTTGGTAGGGAAATTCAAATTTCCGGCCCTTTCTCCCTGCCTTTTTGCGTTCGGAGGTCTCAATCGGTTTCCTCCAATGTCGGGAGGAAAGCCCTTTGAGACCTCCGAAGGCTCGCAGCAGCAGCGGGGGCGGCGGGAGACCTCCAGATACCTTCCAGGGCTTCTCTGGAAGGCATCCGGAGGTGTCCCCCCCTGCCACCGCCACCACTTTGAGCCAAGCCGCGCCGGGCAACCCCAGCCATGCTCAGTCTCCTGGGAGTCCAAGCATGGTTGGGATCGCACAGCCCGGCTCCCAGCAGCGGCAGCAGCGGCAGGGGACCTCCGGATGCCTTGCAGGGCTTCTCTGGAAGGCATCCGGATGTCCCCACAGCCGCCGCCGCCGCTGAGAACCAAGCCATGCCGGGCAACCCCAGCCATGCTCGGACTCCTGGGAGTCCAAGCATAGCCAGGATCGCCCGGCTCAGCTCCCAGCAGTGGCAGCGGCAGCAGGGGACCTCCAGATGCCTTGCAGGGCTTCTCTGCCACCATGGGAGGCATCTTGGAGGTCCCACACACACCGCTGATAGTGGCTCCGAAATCCCCCGCCTCCCTCTTCTGGTCCGTAGGTCGATTCTCCGGCCGCAAGTCGAAGTGAAACTTTGCGCCCAGAGAAGTCCGTAGGTCAAAAAGTACGTAAGTGGAGCCGACCGTAAGTCGAGACTCCACTGTATTATTATTACAATTTCTTACTTTACTAATGTTCCATAAAAAGCAGGGTCTTATGATTCACTTGGGTGCTATTCCTTCTTCCTCTGTGAGTCATTTCTTAGCCTGCTGCTACAAAGAGATCAGACTTAAGGGTTCCCACTTTGAAAACTCTTATTTCTTGTGGAACGATTGTCTTCAGTCAAAACAAAACCCTCTTCCATTAGGATAAGCAAAGTCCATTTGGATGATGTGTTATAATATATCTCCAGGGAGTTGCCTTGCTCTCTGAAAGAAAAGACCCAAGTGGTTGAAAATAAGTGTGATCAAGCAAGAAACAAACAATCAGGGGACACTGCGGCAAGATAGTTCATTCTAGTCAAAAGGGCCAACGTACAGATGGGATGGTCATAAGCCAGTATTTGCCCACAGTTTGGAAAAAAGTGGCATTGTAGGACTTCAGGTTCTGAATTAGCATGGCCCCTACTAGCGTGGCCCCTACTACTTCTTGTAACTAGAGGTAAAATGGATTGTATGCAAGAATCTCTGAGTGCAAGGCATGAGCTCAGCAAGTGGACTGTGGTTCAGTTCGTTCGTTCATTCATTCATTTATACTTCTGTGCCACTTTTTTGTCAATTAAGGGAACCAAGACAGATTAAGAAACAAACCAACTAAAACCACAATAAATTGAAATATTGGAAACAATTGAACGTGTAACAGATTTTAAAAAAATAGTTAAAATTGTGAAGAACACCTTTAAAACATATTGAATGCTTATGCAAAATAGTACAGTGGTGTCTTGACGTACAAACTTAATTGGTTCCGGAACTCCGGTCATATCTCAAAATGTTTGTAAGTTGAGGCACCATTTCCCATAGGAATGCATTGAAATGCAATTAATCCGTTCTGGCCAAAGAAAAACAATCACCAAAAAAAACCACCCCAGAACACTGCAAGACCCATCAGAAACGTAATTAATCTGTTCCGCCCAAAGGGGGGGGGGGAGAAAAGCAAACAAACTGTGCAAGACCCTTTGGAAATGCAAAAAAAGCAAAGCAGAAAGCAAGCAAACCATGCAAAACCCATTGGAAATGCAAAAAAACAAAGCAGAAAGCAAGCAAACCATGCAAGACCCATTGGAAATGCAAAAAAAGCAAAGCAGAAAGCAAGCAAACTGTGTGAGACCCATCGGAAATGCAAAAAAGCCAAGCAAAAAGCATACAAACCCCACAAGACCCATCGGAAATGGGGGGGAACCAAAAAAGCAAACAAACCCCGCAAGACCCATCAAAAATGGGGGGGGGAGTAAAAAGCAAACAAACCCCCAAAGACCCATCGGAAATGGGGGAAAAAACCAAAAAGCAAACAAACCCCTCAAGACCCAACGGAAATGGTGGGAAACCCCCCAAAAATAAACAAATCCTGCAAGACCCATCACAGCATAGAAACATGATCCCGCCACCCAGCCCAAAACCATTCTGCAAAACCCACCCAGAACAGTTTTTGAAAAGCAGAAAGCAGCATCTTACCTTACCAGGCAGTCTGAAGCCTCCTCCGATCGCACTCACTCTAATTGTTGGGGCAAAAGACCTACAAAGAAGCAGCCTCTTCGCTTACCAACAGTTAGCAATCTGAATTCC